CTACAACATGTAGATTACAGTTTTCTTGCATACTTACAAGGCCATGGTCCACACGGAAAAATGCCATCTGACAGGGTTTATTTAAAAGGTTAGAAAAAGCAATGAAGGCATCTGCAGTATCCAAGTTCAAGATCAATACAGCTGCTATGAATGACATGCCCTGTACCTGAAGAAAGGAGAAGTATTACTGTTCAGCAATAACTGTATTCTTCCAAGAATACTGCCTCATTTTGTCCTCGTAATCATTAGTGTTTAATGCACTCACTGAGCTGCTGAACGTTCAGAAAGGCAGGATTTTTTAACCCATGTGACCCTTTAGTATTGAATGTTCAGAGCATGATAGCTAATGATCCCCATGGTGCCTTCTTTCAAAGGCTCTAAGTAAAACTCCTAAGACAGACTAGGATGACAGCACTTTCAAACATACAGAATAAAGATTTTTTTTTTTTTTTTAAGAATAAGCTGTTTCTAAGCAATCCCTCTTCTCCTAGGGATGGGTCATATATACCCTTATTTGTGGAAAACTGGACTAGGACAGTAGACACAAAGCCTGTTCTTTTTCAATCAATTACTGGCAGTTACAGACAACTGCAATGACTCATTTGACAAGCAGTAAGTTGCATTTTAAGATTAAGCTCATGTTTCATTTACCATAAGCTCATGATGTTTTCGCATTATTCTACAAAGTATGCTATGGAATCAATGCTGAATCTAGGCAAAGCTCGCTCGCTCAGAGCGTGTAACGCTGCCACTGCAGAGTCACATGGACCAAGGTGTGACAGTTCTTCCCGCAAACCTGAGGAACAAGCTCCTTTCCCAACACAACAGGTTCCATGCCAAATGAAGGACACCACCTGATCTGCCCTTTTTCTAGCTTGCCAGCAGCCACATGCAGCAGTTTTTGCCAAGCATCCCATGCTATTCACAGAAGAACGTAATCTTTCTACATTTGCCTTCTCTAAAACAACTGCTCCCAAATAAAGAATAAGCTCATATATGTATATATATACACCTGCTCTGGGAAAAAAGACTAAATGAAGTATCTGAAATCCACTCAGTCCTCTCATAATCACTACTTCAAATACTTTGAGAGAGCTCACGTAGCTGATGGGCATGGCTTTAAAGACTGTTCCACAAGCTCACAGTGCTAAGGCACAGAAATGCATATCAACAGGAGTAAGATAATCAACTCAACACAACAGCCTCAGTAGCACTGCCATTAAGAACAGTACATACTTCAAAGGACCAGTTTAAGAACATCTTCTGACTCCAATTTTTAAGCACTACAAATATGTACTTTTGAGTTTTCCAAATGCTTAACCTGTTAAAAAGCTTAAATCTAGCAACAGAATCATTATATACACTTCTCAAGCATGTCGTGGAATAGAAAAAAAACACACAGAAACCCTCCAAGTATTCACAAAATCATTTAATACTGGTCTATAAAGGACTGATTAACACAATCCTCCCTCCCCCTAGTTCTCCCTCCCCACCCCCAAAAAAAATTTTCTTCACTTACATAGCCTACATCAGGTCTGTAACAAGTATAGGCTCCTAAAATACTGTGCAACGTGTCATGGTAAGGACCACCCTATAATTAAACAAGAACGAGACAATACATCTGAGTATATAACAAACGTTAAAATCCCTTCCATGCTATTACTTCTGATGCAGGACACATTATTCCCCTCTGCAGCTTTGAACAGCCCCAAGTCTTTCCAAATAATTTTGGCTTTAAAAGCATGAAACAGCCCTCCATACCACATTTATTACAAAAGCATACAGTTCATCCAATACATGAATTACATACTAAATCCTTACACAAGGGGAATGTAAACCTCAGAGATTCCTTACAGCTTAGCAGCACTTTGACAATAGTGCCAAAAAAGCAGAACACTAATGAGAACTACTTAATTGTCTATTAGACTAGAGGCAGAATTCAATCATGATGAAAGTAGTTAAAACAACAACAATATGCTATAACACACACAGAGCATATCAAGAATGACATGTAGAGCTAAAAAGAATTTCACACTGTTGACTATTTAGAGCTGCCATATCTTACAGTAAGTATTGTAACTGGCTGAGAATTTCCAAAGGTGAGAAGTTTTTCACCCAAAAATGTTGGCTTATCACAATCTAAACTTTTGACAGGGCTACTGAAATTTGTGTATAGAAGGACAAAATGCCTGGTTAAAATGAGTTGTTAAAGCACACCAGAAACATACAAGTTAAACTGGTCTTGCATAAAACAAACAAACAAAAAAGCCACCAAACCTTGCTTGCTTGACTTGTGTGCTCTCTCACTTACTGTGTATTTGCAACCCAGCAGCCTTGATTCACTGACTTGGAAACACTCACCTGCATCACTTCATCAGACAGAAACCAGCATAAACTGGGCTACATGAATCATGATGATTAGCCAACAGATTGTTTTTTTGCTTCTTCCAAATGTATAGTACCTTGAGATTACTCTTTTCTAGATTATTTACAGTTTTCCAAAATCTTTAGGAACTTTTTCCTCTCAAGATGTCTACTCCTTCAAGATCTGAACTCAACGGGCTGTTTCAACCAAGGCACAGGCAAGATTATGTAAACTTAATTTTTCTGAGAAGTCACACAAAAGTTAACATTGGCTTACTTGCTGGAATATACAGAGGTTAGGAAATGTTCTTGAGATATCCAGTTTTATTAACTCCAGGCTTGCTTCTCTGTCAGCTGCAGAAAATCCAGCATCTGCAACAGCCAAAGGTACTGCATTTATTACATGGATCAGCTTACGTGCTTTCCTGCTGCCCCACCACCCCAGTAAAGGTTAGCTTTTGCACAGTTCATTTATTTTGATGCAAATGCTAGGGAATAAGAGTATAGACAGGGCAATTCCCTGAATTCAGCACACAGGCTAAGGAGCAAGTATGTCCTGACTCAAAGCAACCCTGCAGTGCACACTGACCCTCAATATGTTTCAAAGCAATGGGGGGAAAGACGCAGGACAAGGCAGGCCAGGCACTTTACTGGCATTCGCTGACAAATCATTAGACAGACACCAGCCTGTTAACCTGTGACCCCTCGCCCTCAACAAGGCTTCCCAGTCACTCCTGAAGAGCTGTCTCTGTGGAAAGGTTGTGGTGGGAGGGAGAAGTCCTAAAGCAGAAGCATCTGATGGATGCCACCTATCTTTACTACTGTCAGCTCTCCTTCCAAAATCATGCTTATTTAGTATGTCTTGTTAAAGATCGTGGACACTGCAATACACTCTCCATAAAAGAAACAGATTCATATAAGGTAATGTTCTAAAGTATTAGGTTTTTTTCCCCGATATCAAAAAGTTTTATTTGTATTTTGTCTGTTGTGGTAAGTATAGTTGGGAATTACCTACTGCTACTTATCAAGCAATCAAAAACCAAGAGCTGTCACTAGCCAATGCTTACACCAATCACATGAGCATACACATTCCAGAAAATAAACTGCAAGAGTAAGCTGGAAACATACTAGATGTCATCTTATTTAAGATGCAGACGATCTTAAGAGGACAAAGTAGGGGATTTCCAATCAAAAATATTTTCCTGTTGATAAATGCCAGCATGTATGTTCTCCTTTTTCTGCTCAGCGTAATTTCTTACCAAAGGCAATTTCAAGCATCTGCATGTAGTTTTACACTCTCTCAAAACCAGACAACTCTTCCAATCAATTAGCAAATCTCAAACCACTGCATCTGCAAAAATAAATTGCTGCTCTCTGAAACAGACTCAAGAGATGGGCTCAAAGCTGCAATAAGGGATTAAAATGCAATTTTCTGCTATAATTTGAGTTTTAATTCCAAAACTTCAGATGCAGAAAAGTATTTTAGTGTTGCAATTCAAATTATAATCCCCAAACTTTCCTAGTTTTCCTACAAATTAGCATCAAATACGAATTGTACCTAGAGATATTTTGTAAAGAAAAACGAACAAGTGTGGTTTTTAAGAGACTATAGTTTAATTGAGAAAAAAGAATACAGCTATTTATTGCTTCCACAAAAAGCTTTCTTTTTACCAGAGGCATCTTTATAGCTCAATTTTTTTGTTTAAAATCTGTGATTTCATTTTAAGTAACAATTTTACAAAATCTCTTATTTTGTAATGCAGCATAAATCCTTCATGAAAAGCATACCTTCACATTCTACTTCAGCCCCTCCTGTGCTAAGTGATCGCCATTTCTCTTTAGCACGAGCCAGACAAATATCATACAGTTCTGGAAAGACAAAAACAGAGAAAAACAAGCCTACTATTTGTATATGTTCACATCCACTGTCAGGTTCTACCTCCCTACCATACGAGCAATGCTGCCCCAGTCATTACAAGTAACAGTATCTCTAACAGTAGTTGAATGTCAAAGTAGGTTCTGAAAGACTTGTTGCACTGACCTATAACTTAAGTGAAAAGGAAAAGCAATCTAGGCACAAGTTCCATTTTATATTCAAGCGTTTACTTTTCTTGCAGAGCACTGGTGTTCAAAATTATAGTCTGAATGGATAATTAGGATAAGTCTAGAAAATTCCATGTAGGAACTACACCAAAGGTAACTAAGCCAAGCACAGAAAAGCAGCACAATGCAGCAGGAGTACAGGCAGTCTACCACATTTCCACGTTGGAATTAATTACATATGATAGCCTTTCAGAGCTGTGTGTTTCTGTACTCTGAAGCAGCACACTATTGCTATTTTCAGAAACGCACACATAAACAAAAGTACAAATTTTCCCAGGGGTCTTTTAATCTCTCACAAACCTAATGTCTTGCTCTAAATCAAAGGAATTACACTATAGGCATATTTGTAGGCACTACAAAATTAACAATTCTAAGTTTCAAAAAGGAAAAAAAAAAGCTTGAGTCATTAATTCCGACTATCTCCATCTAACATCAAAGCAAGACACAGTGACAGCAATAATCAGAAACAATTCACAGCAGCAGTCCTAGAGCAGTTACAAGATTAAAAGGCGCTGTATTTTTGAACAAAACACCTCAAAGCACCACTAAAAAAGCATAACTAGGCAACATCTCACACCCACACCTCAGGTTCTGATACACCATAATAAATACACTACTGTCCCCTCACTATTTCTCTTTGTAAGACAAGGTAGACAAAACAGTCTCACCATGGGTGATGTTTAACTCGTTGCCAATTGCCAAGCTCCAGACTTTGCCTCTCACACTCGGTGGGATGCCCTGCCACCATAGCTCTCGAACTTTACGGGAACAACACCTGTTTAAAATAAAACAGATTATTCTAATAAATATTTCATTGCCAGCTGAATTGCAAATGTGTCCTCCTACCACTACTGCAGGGATCCAAACCAAAATGAACATCAACAGGCCAAGAAGTCAAACGTGGTTTGCACATACCCATTCTTTAGTACTATTTTGCTTTGAACTGTAAAGGAAAGCTTACTTCCTTCCAAGATAATGCCTTATTTTGACAGAAGCACTGCAATCACAATATCCATAATCTGCAACCACACTTGACCAGCAAGAATCATAGAGGACAGAAATAAACAAATGAAAATGAAAACCATATCTATGCCACCGCCTACGCTAAAGACTGGACAGACTTAAATTTCTATGTAAAATTAAATACAGAAAGAAGTTATGGAAGTCTACCCTTTCCCCTCCATCATCACCCTGCTGTGCAAATGAAACATGCAGTTTCCCACCCAGCTTTGCAGCTGTAACCCTCCAAAAAATGCATGAAGAGGTAACAAGTAACAACTTTTAGGTGGGAGCATGAAAAACATTTTAACAGAACACAGGCTTTGAAATGGTTGCAGCTGATGTTGATTGATCTGAGAGCCCAGAAGGAGGAACAGAATAGCATCTAAGCACCAATGAAAGTTTGTGGTAGTGACAAAAAACACAACAATCCATTTATCTAAAAGTAGATTCTGAACTAAAATGTAGAATAATGGTAGCGAAGGTAGCTTACCAATTGCCTGTGCTGTGTCTTTGTAGGAAATCTTTTAGCATTTTATTGTTTATAACAACTTTTTCCCTACTTTTCTTTTCCATCACTTGATTATCCCAGCAGGTATACCACTCTGTAATTAATTTCATTAGGAAACTTCTGGATTTATAAACCAATACAGGAAAAGGTGTCCTTATTTAAACAGCAGCCATAACAGATGCATCCTCAAATACTAAAAGACAGACATGTAAATCTGCAATTTGCTTATACTTATTACTTCAGTTCTCCAGAAACGCATTTTCCAACAAATTCCATCCATATTTTTAATATATATTCGCAGGACAACTGAATTCCATGATTAAGCAAATTGCAATTGTGAGTGCTGTGGAGGCTGGTCGTTGTGGTGGTGGGCTGGGTTTTTTTGAGGTGACTAGCAAAGTCCATGAAAACTAGACAGCGAAGGTAGCTTACCAATTGCCTGTGCTGTGTCTTTGTAGAAAATCTTTCAGCACTTAATTGTTATAAAACAATTTTTTCCCTACTTTTCTTTTCCATCACTTGATTATCCCAGCAGGTATACCACTCTGTAATTAAAGAGGCTTCATAATACCATACACGTACTTCCATCTACATCTGATATTATAACATCAACAGCTCAAGTAGTCAAGGAAGGCTCATTTCTGATAAATCATGGTGTTCAAGCATTATGCTTTCTGCTTTTACATTCTCTACCACAGATCACTTCTCAGCATTTCACAGTTTCTGAATATTCTGAACCTCCATTACAAACAAATAGTAACTGCTTCACTTGAGCCACCTTGTAGAAATAATGAAACATACATTGCTCATTTTCTTTGTAGCTGTCCACAAGCTACTTTTGAACAAAAGCTTCCAAGACCGTTTAAAATTATACTTGCTAGCTTTGTAACTTCTCTTCAGGATACAGACTCAGCAATTTTAATTAAAACTCAGTATAACATACTGTCTTACATAGTTTCCCAGTTGGGCAAGATTTCATTGTTCCACGTTAAAACAGCACTGCCGATGCTGTCTTCCAGTTTACAGCGTTCTTCCAGTTGTTTCTTTCTCTTCTGGGCTTCTTTAAGCTCTGCAGAAAAGCAATTTCCTTTTTAAGTTAATAAAACCAGAAACCAAATATTCAGAGTTAGCTATTCATGGCTATATAGCCATGTAAAAGCACACTATATTCACCTAAACGCACACTGGACTGTCCAAATTCTAAAAATTTCCCAGACATACAGGAAGCTAAGCAGTGATGCCAAATGTGAATAAAGAAAAAAGTGGAACTATGCATAAGGCTGATTTTCGATGGATGGGACAAAGGGACTTGAATAGGGTATGGCTCCTTCGACCCTTCAAATCTAACCACATTAGTAACTTTGAATTAGCATCTCTGACAGCCAAAAGCCCCACCTAGTAGGACAGGTCAGAGGACTTCCTAATAAAGCCCCACCCCTTTTTTTATGGCAGACTCAAAAACACAGGCTAAAATAATACAAATTGTGTATTTTGTTTTCACTCTTATGTGTTGGTCTTTGTAAATTATGATTTAGATATACTGTCAGGAAATCACAAGAGCCACATTTTTTAACGCTACTTAGCATGTGGTTAATCTAAATGTCATTGATCACAAATACATATATACTGGAAACCTTCAGTTCATGAAGAACACATTTTTCATGTTTAGTTTGAACAGGAAAGACAGGACCTGTGCATGCACACACACACTGCCTAAAACATAGGAAGGTACTCACCTGGCAAGGAAAACTGACTGAAGAACACCAGTACCATGAACAAGGTCTTTGGAATGACGACACACAACCTAATGGGTCCACTTTACAGCCCAACAGAAGCCGTGCCTGAGCAGAACCATACCAACTGCCTCCTAGTATTTTCAGCTTTGATACGGGCTCTTTGTAAGCCTGCCTAAATGCAGGCTTTGCATTTTTCTCTAAACAAAAAGAGGGTGTTTACACTCTTTGATTTCCTGACCTCTACACAATACATCACTCTACAAATTTGTTCATCTGGAGTGGCTTTCGGGAAAATGGGTTTGTCAGAGTATTTATCTGGACAGAATGACATACTCCAGCCCAGTGAAGACAGCACAAGGACCTGGCCCATTGCCTAACTTGAGCACCATCCCACTTCTTCCAAACCATCTACCCTACATGCAAAGAAAGAACAGAGAAACTCCTCTGGACTACTACACATTAAGTGGATATACTAACATGGGAGTCACATGAAGTTGGAACTCTGTTGCTAGGTGTATGATATTCAAAACCACAAGAGGATACTATTATTAATATGTCAACTGCAGAAAGCAAGCAAGTCCTCTGTTCCTATCACCTTTCCACTGTTTCATATGACTCAGGAGTCTGGCCAGCTGGGAAAGAAAAAAAAAAAAATTCCAGTAGCTCTCACTGGACATAAAACTTCTACAACTCCAAATTTCCTATTATTGCAATGCTTGTTTTTATTAGAAAACCCAGATGGTCAAAAATACCAGCAGAAGAAAACCACAGCTGTCAGCTCTACCTGATGTGCATGGTACAGTGCTGCTGAGACACTTCTGTGAACAATGTCAGACAAGAAATTATGAGCAAAACCTTGGGAAAGCTGTAAATTTTAAGTGGGAGACAGATTATCAAATGAACATAACTACATACATTTTCCTACGTGGAAAATTATGTATTTATGTACTACAGCCTCAACAGGTTGTTCCCAACACGAAACTATCAAACAGCCTGTAGTTATCTAAGTAAGTCTAGTCTTCACTAATTTGACTGATAATCTACTCCAAAATATTAGTAAGCTTTTAAATCCACAAACAGATGCCACTCAACTATTGAAGAGTTACAAATTAAAAAATTCTTTCCTGTTGGATTCTAGGACTGTTTTCTTTTTCAGCTTGGCGTGGGGCTTTTTAATGGAACTACCGTCATCCCTCTCTCTTCTCTGGACTGATTCTTCTTTGAGGGGAGGTACAGATCCCTCACACTACAGAGCAACAGACTGACACAAGTGCATTTCAGGTTTAGAATACCCCTTAACTTTACTTGTCTCCTCTGAAGACAAGAAATTCCATCACCTCTTTTTTTTGCTTGAACCACCATTTCTTCGTACTGTTGTCTGTGTTTCTGAGCTTCTTCTGCTGGTTTTGCAGGGAGGTTCCTTAAATTTAAAAAATAATAATAATCAGTATTTGAAGTTGGCAAACCTGTCTAAAGAAAATTGTGGACACTTCTAGAAGAAAAGCATATACCACTGCTTGTCAAAATATTTGATCAAAGAGTAGAGCAACAGATCCTTGGAAAGAATTTTTTTTTTTCTTGCCAGAGTCAGCAGAAGAGAAGGAAAGAACACTGACCAGCTACTACTTTTATACACAAAATATGCTGAATAATTTCCTTATGTTTGGTAAATTCAGCGTTTTTATTATTAAAGCAACTGAACCCACAGGCTGATCTTCATAAACAAAGGGAATATACTGGTATATACCAAGCTGGTAGTTTTGATTTAAACTGATCGCTACAGATAAGATACAAGACCATACTCTCTCTTACCATTAAGAGTTACATCCACAACTTTCTTTACCCATGCAGTAATGACTCCCTACACCAGCTTCTTTTTCCCCCTCTGCTCTCTGAGACCCCATTTCTATTTTAAAGGCTTAACTCCTCCCCCCCCAACTTCTACAGCAACGAGTGGCATCCTCTATATTCTCCATTTATCAATACCAACACAGCCATTTTGATTTGTGATTAAAGCCTGGACTGGTAACATCTCTGCCACACAAATACACGTGCTCATATATCAGACCACATTAACTTCAAGCTAATCATATTTGTAATTAACATAACCACTATGCATCTCATACAACCACAGGATCACCAAAACATCAGAACAGGAAATGACTAAGTGTTTTGTTCTTCTGTATTGTAGAACACTGTATTGTATTCCTAGGACAGTTTATATCTTTGGTTAATAAAAAAAGATACGCAAAAATTCACTTCCACGTTCCTCTAAGGTGTCACACATAAGGCAGCTGCTAGCCTTCAATAGTCACCATTAATAGTAGTATGCTTTACTATTTACATAATGGTGTTACCTGTGAAGTATGCACAGCCATATGATACATGCCTATGCATATTTTTTAAAATCAAGATTGTTGCAAGAACAAGGAAAGTGGATTTTCACATTAGTGTCATTGTTAACCACAGAGAACAATCTACTCTGTTCCAGTTTCATTTATGTAAATTGACCAGCATTTTTAAATCCAAGTCTTTAGAAATGGTGTAAGTTAGGGAAAGTTTGGAAAGGAAAGCCAGATGAAACAATGCAAGTTCTGCTAACTTAAATTCAACCACTTAAATTACTTGTCCTTTCTCTTAACGACATCACCATACATGTGAGATGATGTTTAGAATCTATTAAGACTTTTCCAGTTAAAGCTAGAGGTACTATGGAATATATATAGATTTTTCCTAGAAGGTTTTACCTAAACACTACAAGTGCATGCAAAATCAAGAGCAGCCATTGTGGAAAAAAATCTCACCACATTTTTCTTCCAGAAGTCTTAAATCTTTTTGTCATAGGAAATCAAGAAGAAATTACTTAAAGCCTGATAGGTAAAAAAAAAAAAAAAAAAAAAAAAAAAACAGGTACACAAACTATAAGTAAACAATTAAAAAAGATTATTTAGAAAGATTCAGAGGGCAGTACTGCTGTCCAGAGCAGTTTTCCCTACTAGACAAAAGAAACGACCATTCAATTGTCTAGAATCTTAAAAATACCTTTTCTGCTAGGAGTTTCTCAGTCTATCAAGAGTAGGAAAGAAAGCAAAATCTGAATGTTATCCTGTAATGTATCACTACTAATTCCATCTATCTGAACAGCGTACTTCTTGGATTATCTCACATCAAGAATGATTTTTAACAGACAGGTTTTAAATACAACAAATAAACTAGTATGGTTTCCAGCTGTACACAATAAAAACCTGCTATGACAAATAATTACTCCTACATTGTTCTAGATGTCCCAAGAAGTCTTGTCACACAGTCTACCAGTCAAGCCAAAAAGTGTCTTAAATGACCCTAAAACTAGACTACTGTGATATGAGCATTCTGCATACAGATTTGTTGATGAAAACACAGACCTATGTTACGCCAGTTCCTTACACCAATGCACAGCTATATTAAAAATGCAGACACCATGCCTGTAAAGCTGGGTACCATTCAAAAATTGACTAAGCATGACTGAATTTGTGTAATTCACAAGCAAACCAAGGTAGAGCAGCTGCCAGTAAATCGTTATGGAGTTAGTCTGCAGATGCAAGAATCTCCTTACAGTAACAGAAGCATGAAACAACCTATCAAGTACTTGACAACCTTTAGAATGCAATGCTGAACCCACTGCAGAACAATCATTATATTGTTTCATTATTTATGGAGGTGTGGTCTTTCTCTGTGTAAACAGGACACTGTATCCTTGCTTCTCAATTTCTTTAGCATATACCAGCTTCATTTTTATGCTTACATTCTCTCAGGGAAAATAAAAATCCCTTATTCATGGTTAGAAGCTAGAATTACTCAAAACTAGAGCCCTGCTCCCCTAATTACCTCCCTTCATAAAAGCCATTGCTTTTATTATAAAATAAAGTTACTTTTGTTTGAATATTTTTTCTCATAATCATGCCACTTTCATAATCACTAGCCAGAAAAATATTTCTACTTTAAATTTTAAATCATCTGGTTTATGTTAGAGCAATCAAATACAAAACAGTAAGAAAAGCTTTGCTAGCCTAATTTTAAAGGGACCCTCAGTGTGGTACTTCCCAAAACTTACGCTGGTCTGTCCTCTAAAATAAGTGCTGTAGTGGAGAGTGGTTCAAAATCAAGATTCTTCCTCACATTCTGTTTAGGAGAGAGTGGTCTGTGAGCTCGTCCAGTTTTTTCTTCATATTCCTAGGGAAGCAAAAGACAGGGCAAGTTAAAACAGTGGAGAACACCAAGATGACGCACATGAGAATTCAAACAGGGCCTACAAAAGTCTTCAAGATAATGCTTTCACATCTCTGTGCAACTGCAGCCCCTTCAAAGCTATCCAACTAGAGTAACCTCAGAATTGAAAACAATGTTAAAATTTATGTTCAGGAGTGAGTTTTCATCTTTTTTCCCCATTCCTTCCATTTGTAGAAACATCTTCAGTTCCTCTGACTGGCAGCCTGCTTTTACAAAGTATTGCTAAGAATGAGCTTACAAACATCAGATACTATCTGAGAAATAAAATAAGACCTATTTAAAATATTTTTGATTTACATGATTTTGAAATTGAAGCCAAAAATGACCACAAGCTCCTTGTCTTAAGATCTCATCGTAAGATTTCTCCTACTCAAGTTATTTTCAGATGCAACAGTTCAATAATGGCAAAAGAAAAAAAAGGTTAAAATCACGGTCAGACAGAAATCCCACACTTGCTATGATGCCTTGAAGTACAACAATCCTCAGTCATAACAGAGCATAAGGTATTGCTTTGTGTTTGTAATACAGGCACTGACACATCACAGCAAGACTAGCAAGGAGGCACCAAGATGACTGGGGTCTGGAGCAAGCGCCATACAAAGAGAGGCTGAGAGAACGGGGCTCGTTCAGCCTTCCGAGGAGAAGGCTTTGTAGGGATTTTTGGTAGAGAGCAGTAACAAGACGGTGAAGGCTGAGTACGTGTCTCTGGGGCGCTTGTATAAAGAACACGAAGACAACAGGCGCAAAATTCTACAAGGGGAATTCCGATCGGGGAGGGCGGGAAGGAAATCACTAGGAAGGTAGTCAAACACTGGGACAAGTCTCCCGAGATGTGGTGGAACCTCTGACCTTGAAGGCATTCAAAGCTCAGGTGGATGAGCCTTGGGAACCTGGTCTAAGCAGACTGCTCTGAGATGGGAGTTAGCCCCTCAGAGGTCCTTCCACCCTTAATTACTGTATCACTATGATCTACATTAGAGGACTTGACATTACATGATATTGTTATGCTTCCTACAAACACTGTTTTGGAAGAAAATGTACCAAAAACATGACCTAATGGGATAAAACAACCTTTACAGAACTCCCATCTACTCCAAAGCTTGAAGTACTATAGCAAACATTAAGTATTCAAAGTATCAGTGATACACAAAACAACAAACACGGACAAACAGTCCTACAGAAAAACCAAATCCATATTATACATACTTTTACATTCAATTTTTTGAAGAATTTTGCCACTTCCAAAAACCACCTGCTTTCATGTGTAGCTTGTTTATACCATTTCTATTAAAATTAAAAAACAAAACCAAAAAAACCCCTACAAAACAAAACAACAACGGAAACTATACTGTTAAAACTAATCATTATGAACACTGTGAACACTGTTCCAGCCATGGATTTTTCCCGTTAGCACAAACAACTCCTCCAACAGTACTGATTTCTTTCTCTCAACCTAACCTGTCAGTTGTGTCAAAACTTCCTTGGACAATAGATCTAACCCTTCCAACACAATCAGAACATCCTGGATCATTCAGAAACTAAAACAAGATCCCTACCACTTCCAGAAAGGTCTTCTCCTCCAACCCCACCTTAAAAAAAAAAGGATGGATGAAAAACACACATGAATGCAGAGCAACACAGCTGCCGTTTTCTACTCTGTGTCATACAATTCAATTCTAGTTCAAGCTAGTTCTGTGGGACTCATAGGTGCAGGTCTGTGAAGCTCTCGGGACACAGAAAAAATCCTCTTTTTCCTTGTTTGTTAACTGGGCACTGTCTCAACCATCAATCCTATGATGCCTGCATTGCTGTGACAGGAGACATTGTCACGAATTTGGAATGTCTGGCTCATTAATACCAGTTAATACCGCTGTGCATGACATCAGTTTGAAAACAAGGAAAAGAACCAAGAAAAACTTATTTCAACTACTGAATAGTACTTAGCTTTGTTTAGTAAAGGCATAGTGCTCATGCTGACAAAGCTGTTTACTAAAAAAAAAAAAAAACCTCCAGTGAGAAAATAAGCAAAGAAATACAGTAAAAAGGTATTGTGATCGACAGCATATTCAGAAAGCTAAGACATGATTCCTGCATTAATAACTCCTTGCAAGCAGCTGACAGCAGCAGTCCATGAGTGCACCATCATAACATGCTTCAGCTGCACCATCAACTACAGAGTATACCCACTGTGCTGACAGGAATGAGGCAAATGGCTATTCTTTCTCCCAGTTTCTATTAAGAGACTGATTTTTTTAATTAGCTATTTTTCACAAATGAACATAGTCAATTATTAACCTCTATCACTGCTTCCACAGACAAGATGAACCTTGTCCCTATCTCTAACATTTTTACTCCTTTGAGACACTATTAGTGAGAGAAAAACCATCCGGCAGCCACAAGAAACTGCTAATATACAGAAATCATCATATATGGATCTCCCTAAAGCATCACAGGACTTGATATTAAAACACACGCACACAATGCTTATCACAGCAGAAGTTCCAGAAAAGCGGCTTAATTTTGGCTTACAAAAATTATTTTCAGGGCCTTCTTTCATTGAAAGCCAACTGCAGAGCAAAATTGCCTTTGGAAAGTGAGAAAAACTGCACACACTGGGCTGCAATGGGGATTCTATTCCATACAGTACAATCAATTTGGAAATCTCATTCAGCTAAGCACAAAGTTTTCCAGACCAGCACTACACATATCATTCTTCCAAGAATTTCTTGGTTAAGCAATGTTTTATTTTGGAATATGGGTGGCTAGTTACAGTATTGGCATATTAGTACAGTTCTTCAGACCTCTTAAAGAGCAAAAGCCCACCCTGCATGTCAGCAAGTATTCACTGACGTATTCTACTCAGTACCACCTTACAGTAAAGAAGCCAGACTAGCACAAAAATGGGAGTGGCACATTTAACAGATTACCAGTATGAGTCCTTTGTAGTAATTTCATCCTTTTCACTGGTAGCCAAAAAAAGAATAAAAATGTTTGTTGGTGACAGTCACTATCTACAAGACTGTTTTTTAATTAGGGAAAATTAAAAAAAAAAAAAAAAAAAAAAAAAAACACAAAACAAACCCTCCACCCCCAAAAAACCCCAACAAAACAAAAAACCAAAACGCCCAAAATTCACAACGAAGGACAAAAGCTCCTCAAAATGATCTTTTATTCCAGTAAGAAGAGAATGCAATTTTGAACAGAGCACAATGTATGATACAGCAATGAAGCAGACTGAAGCCTCCATAAACTCATATTAACAGTATCTGCTGACCAAGCAAGTAGAAGTATTTGCACATACAGGCATACTGCAATAGGCTGAACCACACAATAGCTCATTTTAAGCTTTTTTTTTTTTTTTTAAAACCAGGCTCAAATCTAGCATAGGCACAAATAATTCAGTGTCTATTTAAATCATATACTGTAATTAGGGGTTACTAAGCCGATATGGTTGCAAGTTAATTTTAGGATCAATTTAGGATAGGCTGATTGTTTACGATTTCGAATACACCCTTATCACTGAGATCACTTAGGCCTTCTTCCAGGTTTCATCTTAACCTGTTCAGCATTCAGCCACAACAGCTGAACTAGGGTTTGAAGATGTTCTAAGAAAGCATGCTGTAGATTAAAGCACTGTTTTAAAAGTCCCAAACCAACCAACCAAAAAACCCCACAGAAACACACCCCCCCGAAACCAAGTTTAATTCCGGGTGGATCCTGAGAGCCGTGCAGTTGAGATGCAAGACGCTCAAGTTGCGGCGATCCTCCGCCAGTTGTTCAAGAAAGAGAAGCTAACCTGCAAAGGGATCCTCGGTCATCTCTACGGAGAAACACACCTGACCCACCGGCTCACGGGGAAGCGCCGAACGACGGGCTGCGCTACCCGGGAGAGCTCTGTGGCCCGAGCCCCGCCGGGGGCCGGCAGCACGGCACAACTGAACTGCTCCATCAAGGTCATCTTGCTCCGGCCCTGTTTGTTTAAAGGCAACCGCTCTCCGGGGCAG